CCCTTCAATAAACAATATCAATCAAACTCTAATCAAACTCTAACAAAAATCCAACAAAAATACAATCAAATTGTAAATCAACTCTCAAATTTATTAAGGTTAAAGTACCATTTTGGTCCCTCAACTTTTCAATTTAGTACCAAAATTGTCCCTCAGCTTTAAAAAGTACCAAAATTATCCTTAAACTTTCATTTTTGATACCAAAATGATCCTTCTGTCAGTTAAGTGCACATGTGGCACGTTAAGATGCCACAAAATCATTGACTTTTTTGAATTTGAATGACGTGTAAATCCAGCAAAGAAAATCTTGTCAAATGACATTTTTTTTACACGTCAGATGGTGACCACCTCAGTTTTTTTAGTGGGACCCACATAGCATTTTTTAAATGACGTGTAAGTTCTACCTGTTCGTCCCCAACAGGCCCCCTCAAACGAACAGATCCATTTATAATTTCTACATGTTCATCTTCAATAAACCCCCTCAAACGAACATATCCATCTTCTTGGCGACCGGAGTATCTCTCCGGCATCGTCTGATATGGCGAGCGTAGGAAGCTCCAAACGGCGAAAGAACTAAGGAGGAGAAGGCGAGGTTAAGAGCTTTCAGGCGACGTCGGGTTGGGTCAGGTCGGCGAGAGAGAAGGCGCGTGTAGGCAAGGGTTTCACGTGTGTGCGAAGGGGGTGGGTTTCAAAAAACCCAGATCTGGAAAGTTTGAGGGTTTGGCACAGATCTGTGTGAGAGTTTGAGGGTTTGGTACAGATGGGGCGTGTGCAGGGTCGGTGTATAAGTGAGCGACTGAGAAGGGGGTGGGTTTCAGAAAACCCAGATCTGGAAAGTTTGAGGGTTTGGCACAAATCTGTGTGTGAGAGTTTGAGGGTTTGGTACAGATGGGGCGTGTGCAGGGTTGGTGTATAAGTGAGCGACTGAGAAGGGGGTGGGTTTCAGAAAACCCAGATCTGGAAAGGAAGAAGAAGGGAGAAGAAGGGGTGGGTTCGAAGGATTGAGAAAGAGGAAAGGGAGAAGACGGCAGCTGTTTCCGGTGTGGCGGAGCTTCCAATACCCTACACTAGCCTCCGCCTCATCAATCGCCCAGACTGTAGAGGTGTTCCATGCCTTGTCTTGATTCTTTGATTTCTTTTGTTTTTGATACTTCTGTAACTATGGAGGATTGAGATTGGGATTTTTTGTACAGGAATACTATTACTTTATCTTGTGCTTCATTTCTTCATTCCTTCCCTGGTTGGCCTTTTTATTATTATTATTAATTTTGCTCTGTTAATCCATGATGAGATTAGTAAATAATTGCTATCTTAGATCTAACAAATGGTCAAAGGAACGGTTTCTTGTTTCTCTTTACTTTTGTGTTCTCTAGATGATCCTCTAATTTTGGTGGCAGAGCATTTGTTAGGAGATAATAATATGCTCACTAAATGTGTTTTCTGCGCTCTAATCTCAAGTGTCGGGGCTGGAGAAAGGGATGGGCTAACCAGATTTGGGTTTGAGAGAGGAAGAAGAAGGAAGAAGAGAAAGAGAGAGAATAAGAAGAAGAAAGAAAAATGAGCAGGGAAAGTAAGGAGGAAAGGAGGAAGAAGATGAAGTTTGAGAGAAAACCCAGATCTGGGTTTGCAGAGGTAAGAGAAAAGGAAAGGTAAAGGTGAGAGAAAATGAAAGAAGAAGAAGAAATTTGACGTGGGTGAAAAAAAAAGAATTATTATTTTTAAATTAAATGAAAATGCCAACTCATAAAAAAAATGCCAGCTATGTTGTTTTTTTTCCATGTCATTAGCTAAGAAGAAAAAAGAATTGATTTGTTGGCATTTTAACATGCCACCTGTCATTTAACTGACGGAAGGACTATTTTGGTACCGAAAATGAAAGTTTGAGGATAATTTTGGTACTTTTTAAAGTTAAGGGACAATTTTGGTACTAAAATAGAAAGTTGAGGGACCAAAATGGTACTTAAACCATTTAGTAACAACTGGAAATGAAAATCCAAAGAAGAATGAAAAAACATGAATTCAGCATCGAAACAGCAAAGCTGGGTTCATCGGAACCCAGCTGGGTCTCGTTGAACCCAGCAGCTGGGTTCGGGTAAACCCAGCAAGGCTGGGTTAGACGAGACCCAGCAAGGTTCGTTGGAACCCAGGCTGGGTTCGACGAGACCCAGCAGGGTTCGTCGGAACCTAGCCTTGCTGGGTTCGGGGAAACCCAGCCAAGTTGGGTTTGTCGAACCCAGCTCGCTGGGTCTCATCGGAACCCAGCTCGCTGGGTCTCATCGGAACCCAGCTCGCTGGGTCTCATCGGAACCCAGCAAAGGAGACCCAGCCAGGCTGGGTTCAACGAGACCCAGCAGGTTGGATTCCGACGAGACCCAGCAAGCTGGGTTCCGACGAGATCCAGCAGGCTGGGTTCGTCGTAGCCATGGAGACCCAAGGCAGGAAAGAAAGAAAGAGAAAGAAAGAAGGAGAAGAAGAAGGATTGGGTGGGTGAGGGTAGTTAGGTAATTTTATTTGTTTTTATTTAAACTATAAATATTA